TTGTGTATGGCTTCAAAGGTGCCTCTTTCCAGATACAAAGGTTGACAACTTTTCTTTGGCAAGTATGCCTTTTTCCAAAAATCTTTAATGGTATCTATCATTTCAACTTTTCAAATTAGTATTATGCAGAATTTCATTTATACGGCAGACCCATTATATGCTGTAAAAAAAATTGTCAAACTTTTGCTTAAACTGATTTTTTATATATTTTTTTCCAGATTGTAAGACTGCTGAAACAATGGAGAATTACAAAGTCCTAGAGGCTATAGGCCAAGGCTCTTTTGGCAGAGTTTTTAGAGGAAAGTGCTTATCAACAGGACAAATTGTAGCCTTGAAGTTCATCCCAAAGAGAAATAAAGTTGAAAGAGAACTCAGGAGCCTGAGGAGGGAATGTGAGATCCAGAGAGGCCTAGCACATCCCAATATCGTTCAGATGTGCGACTCCTTTGAAACGGAGAATGAAGTTGTAGCGGTTAGTGAGTATGTTCCCGGACAGCTATTCCAACTTTTAGAATCAAATGGGCCCCTACCAGAGGAGAGAGTGAGACAGATTTCTTGTAATCTTGTGTCTGCCATATACTATTTGCATTCCCATAGGATCCTGCACAGAGACATAAAACCTCAGAATATATTGATATCATCTTCAGGTGAAGCAAAACTCTGTGACTTTGGATTTTCTAGGAAGATGGGTATTAATACCTATGTTCTCACTTCCATAAAAGGTACACCTTTGTATATGGCACCTGAGCTCATAGAAGAAAAGCCATATGACCATACAGCAGATCTTTGGTCACTTGGTTGTATTCTGTTTGAACTGCTGACTGGAAAACCACCTTTCTGTACAACATCTATCGTTCAGTTAGTAAAAATGGTTAGAACAGAACCAGTGAATTGGCCGCAGGGATGGAGTTCAGATTGTACTTCATTTCTCCAGGGCCTGTTGGAGAAAGATCCAGTTGACAGATTAACATGGCCAGATCTTCTTGAGCATCCATGGGTTCACGAAGGAGTTGTCTTTGTGCAACAATCTCTTAATGGTACACCTCTTACAAATCCTTTGACATTATCCCAACAGCAAGTAAAAGAACAACAGAGAAAAGAGCTGGTGCAACGTGCTGCAGGTCAGCCAAGAGTAATAGGGAAAGCTGGAATGAAGAAAACCCCTTCACCTACAAAAGTTGAACTTCCACAGCTGGTAGCAGAACCAGCTGCAAATATCCCTGGTGCTGTTAACACTAGTCTTGTAGCTCGACATGCTGCTGCAAGTGAAGCACTCCAAAATGATAAGGAGGGACATGGAGATGTATTACATATTGATTTAGATGTTTTAAAGAGACTTGAAGCTGTGCATCTTGAAGCAGGTAACGCTGGAAACTTAAATTCAAGTTCTCCTTCCCCAAATCTAATGAGACGCAGAGGGAGAGAAAGAATGATTGAGGTGCATTTATCAAGTTCAAGTGAAGGAACAATGCATAGTAATGTTGATATGCAACATAACACCGACACTTTGCATACTACTCTTGTTGAGGTTGAAGTCCATAAAAGTGCTATTTCTGATGCTGTAACTGGTGCTGCTGATATAACAGATATGGGTACTGATGCTAGGTGTGCAGTTGGTGCATCAGTGAGGAAGTTAAGTAGTGTATCCCAAGAACCTGGTTTTAGAGATGAAGATGTGAATGACTTTAAAAATTGTGGTCCATTACCTCTAGAAGATCGTAAAGATAGCATGGTCAACTACCTGGCAAATTCAGTTGACTCATCTAGGCGAGGGAGCCGGCCTTCCAATGCAATGCTTGAACTTGTGCAAGATGGTCGACCAAGTCTTCCAAATATCAATGAGGAAAGTTTTACTCCATTTATGCAAGAGAGAGCCCTAACTGTTATGAGTGGTAAAACAAGTAGTGCCGTTGTTTTTACATTACATAGTTTTAATTCTGAAGACAAGCCTATTGAAACAGAGGAGTGGTGCAGATTTTTAGACAAAACACTTGCAGATGTCCTTAATGGAAATTATAGTGTATTTCTTGTACAAAATGAGCTTTCCATGTTTATTGGCCCCTTAAGAAATCAGAAGTGTTCTTTACAGGTTACAAATAAAATAGCCACACTTCTCATGTTACCATTCACAATGGAGGAAACAAAAGATAACCTTAGAGACATTGTCAAAGTGTACCTTGAGTGTAAGGTTGTGCCAAATTTAATATATGCTTGTAAACTCATTTTCAAAATAGAAAGTCACAAGGTAAATAGGACAGTGGACTTTGATAAAGACCAAATTGATACAATGGGTCAGCTCACTATGCTAATATGTCATCTAGTTCATATCGAAACAGACTTCCTCTTGCAGTTTTGCGATTGTGTTTGTGTTCTTAATGCCTTTGCAGTTATAGCAAAGATACTTACCCTGGATAACATATTACCAGAATTGGTAGCTGACATGCTAGCCATCCTGAACCAAGTCCTTCGATTAACACCAGAGAACAGATCTGTTGTCGAGCAAATCCTTGGCACAAGTGATTCTTTGTTGCTGCTGCTTGGAACACTCATCACACACAAGCTACCTTTAGTCCGTTCAAGGCTCTGCACACTGATTGGATATCTTGCCAAATGTTGTCCACAGATTGCCAAGCTATTTGAGGGTCAGCACAAGTTACTATGTGACTTGATAAATCTAGAAAGTGATATTGTTCCACAAGTTAGAAAAACAGCTTCTTTTGCTGTATCCTGTCTGCAGGCTTTTACAGAACTGATGCCAGAAGATTCATGTAATTAATGTCATGTGCTGTGATCTCAGGTTAAAAAAAAAAAAAATACATGTGAAGTAAGGTCAGGGTATTTTTTATTTGTACAAGTGAATACCAGATGACTGAAGGTTCACATTTTTTGATAATTTAGACAGTTCTTATGAGTTCTGTGAAATTCATGAATGCCAAAAGTTTAGTAATTAAGGGTTTTTACCTAAAATATAATCATCCTTATAGTACAAATCATACATTCCTTTATTTTTCCAGGTCATCTTTACCATGTTCGGAACACTTCATAAAACTAGGTGATCTTTGGTGGACTTAACAAAAGTGATATTTCTCTTAACTTGTAAAGTCTTTGCCCCTCTGCAATAATGTGGTGAAATGGTTTTTAGAACACTTCACTTGTGAAAAATATTGTCAACTAGTTTTGTGATATGTATTATGGAATTAATCTTGTATGCAGTATAAACATTTTTACATAGAAGAGATTCATTGAAAACCCATGTTTAAACTAAACATTTAACTTTCTTTTTGTAGTTTAAAAAGATCAGAGTAGCCTTTTAGTAGTAAAAAATAAAAAGTAGCATACAGCTATGGCACCTTTTGGCCTTCCAGTGCCAATTTAGAAAACCATTCCAACTCCTGTTTTTTATTTCAAAACAGCAAGGAACCAGCATCACATAACCCCCTGCCCTCCAGTAATTATGCATTTGCCTGGCCTGTTGGGAATATTTATATTTATATCCAAGATCATTAGCAATGTATGCAAAATAGTAAAAGGGTGAGGTCACTACCCAAGATCATTAGCAACGTCTGCAAAATAGTAAAAGGGTGAGGTCTGGGGGCGAAGACCCTGAGTAAGGAAGTATTGTGCTAACAAGGCAGCGTTTGTGGATTCGCAGAATGGTCAATGGTTAAAACAAATGTGAGAAACAAAAGGTCATACAGCACTAATAAATTGTGGCAAAAGGGTAAAAATGAGTCCACTATTGGGATAAAATGTTAGAAGTCAAAAGGTTGTAGAAAGTTTTTAGTGTGATGGTGAAATTGGTAAAGAATTATTAAAAGGAGGATGAAGTCCATTCATGACTGACAAAGCCATTCTATCACCCTCTCAGCATAACTCTCACACTTTAGGGTATGGGCAGAACAGGATGAGGGAAAAGAGGGTGGAGAAAAATACCATGTACAATTATTTGAGGAGAGTTGCTGTCCAAGGTAGGGGCGATATCCTACATTAGGCCTGTTCTCCATATCATTAGCCCCCAGAATAAGCAAGAGAAGAAAGAGGGAGGCTGTTGAGAAGAGACTGTACATCACTTTCAAAAAGTGCTGAAGCATCATGTTTAGATTTCTAAGTCACCTTACAAAAGAATACCTCAAGCCCAAGAAAATTTCAGTAGACATTCTATAAAGAAAGGTCAGCACAGGGTTTGGTATATAATAAGCACATCTGTACTTCCTTTTAAAAAAATTATCTGCCACCAATTACTGGACAATTTTTATCTATTTTCTAAAACCAATAACCTGACTGGATGAATAGGTATTGCTAACTTGTGCCATCTTAGGCATATGCTTGAATATAGCGATATTTATTAAATTTTCTGCCATGTCAACACAAGGAAAATGGTTATTACAATATAGAGCAAGAGCAAGAGGGCAAGTAAAGCTGCCAGGCAAGGAAAGGTCATATAGCTTTGAGAAATCAAGTTTTAGGAGTTAATACGGCATTCTTAATAGGTCAAAGGTTGTAGCACACTTTAGGTTAATATGGTAGTAAAAATGGATAAAGAGGGAACAAACTGACAAAGCCAGCCTTTCATCCCTTCAGCACAGCTCACTGATGTGATGCAGGGGATGAGAAAAAAAAAAAAAGGGGGGGGGTGAAAAGGAAACAGACCATAGAAAATTAGTCGAGGAAGGCCCTAGGTCCAAGGAAGGGGTCCTCCTAAGGAAGCCAGCAATCCCATGGGGACAGGATGGTTAAAGCCATGTCCACACAGGTGACATCTAGCAAGAACTATGGAAACCTATTTTACAGGTTGGTTTAACCGACCAAGAAGTCTACTCATGCCTGGTCATGTGCCCAGCAGTTGTGCTTTCCATTATCTAATGTACCCTCCACACAAATTCTAGGTACAAAACTAAACATTTCCAAGAGTTTCACAACCTTGTTAGTGACTTGCAATTTCCATACAACTTAAAATGTAGGATTTGGAAGGAATTCCACTTCATTAAAACTACAATTTTTAACACATTTTTATTCATGACAGGATACAAGAAAGTACTTTTTATAAATACAATTAACAAGGGATATACATCGATATAATTTTAAAGGAGTATAAACATTGATAACTACACTTTCTAACGAGTAGATATGTAGATACTAAAGCCTTCATGTCCATCTGCATTACAAGGTACCCATATCTGTAGGAGTAAAAAGCAAGAATTTAGCTAGTGAAACACCTGGCCACATGCTGGGTAATGCCCACAAGGGAAAAGGATTTAAAATCAAAACAGCCATCTAACAAGTTATAACTCAAGAGCTGGTAGTATTCCATTTGTCTTTCAGCCAGATGAATCTAGTATATACATTCTGGCATTTAAAAAATAATTACCTTGTTTCTTTTTTTTTTTTTTTACTTCTTTTTTTTTTCATTAGACTGGACTTAATGCTTATTGCATTTTAATGAGTTTTACCTTCAATAGATGTTGGGTTAGAAAAATACCACTATTTTCCATTTAAGAAAATTTGATCCTTGCCAAATATTTACCTACTACATGTTGGAGATGCGTTTTCTTTTAGTATACATCTATTCAGTCGGCATCAGAAACAGGTCAACATTCTGTAAGAACGAAAAAAATTAGTAAATGACAAACAATTTTCAGTGCACTGAATCAGGTTTATCATCAGATACTTTATATACTTTTCATTATCTTCAAAATGTTGGGATAAGGATCATCACATGCTTGGACCACTATCACAAATATCTGTACCAACCTCAAGAACATTGTAAACTGATCTCCCAATCTAAATTCTCCTAAGCAATGAAGAGCCTGAAACGAAGACATTCTTGTCAATAAATTCCAATCGAGTATCAAAAAGTAATTTTTATTCTAGTCAATCAGATTTGGATTTATCACCAATTATGGTTCTGTAGACAGTCGCGAGATTTTTTTCATCATTTACTGTTAAAAATATAACCATATAAAATATATTTATACATACCTTAACACTTCAAGCCACTTCTGAATTGCTTCCAAATTACTTTCAATCATCTTTGAGTGCCTGAAACAAAACACTTTATATATACATTTGAATATACACTGGATTAGGTAATCTGCAAATCCTTAAATCAGTAGTTTGTAGTTTCATTATATCTCAAAATGTTGGGATAATGGATCATCACACAACCTAGATATATAACGCTAACCATAACCTCAAATCTCACCTTAGATAACAGAAGGGGCATTAAAAAGGTGGTATTTTGGCCATCATTTGAAGTTCACATGTGCACACAATTACACCTGTAATGATTAAGCTGGTTATGCAAACATTAAGTATAATAAAACAGTCTTATCAAATAGCATGATCAGATCAAGATTTTCACCAATTAAGGTTCTGTAGACAGTCGCGAGATTTTTTTCATCATAAAAGTATGCCTGGGACAGGGGAGAGACTTATAAAATTAAAGTCTAATAAACCAGTTAAAAACCTGGTTATTAAAAAAAATAAGCCAAGGTGATTAAAAATGGGCTTTTATAAAGATTAAATTCTGTCTAATAAACCAGTTAAAAAACCTTTGATTTGATTAAAAATGGGCTTTTTCCCTTAGCAAAATTTTTTTCTGCAAATACATTTTGATCAGCAATCCCTCAAAAATAAAAAGAATGCAAAAAGAACTGGGGGTCCAGCCTCATTTCATCCCAAATCTGACTACTTCTATTTTAGAAATTTCTAAAAATTATGTACTAGAGATTAACCACTTCATATTTACCATTTCAGCCTGGAAGCAAAATCCTGAAATTGAAAGAGCATGTATTATTTTTTGACAATGATAGTCAAGTAATTTTATCATTAAATCTTTCAGATTAAAAATGGAATCACGGTTATCATCCGAGAAGTGTCAGAAAAATCATCATTCAAAACTTATATTTTCACTTTCTGCATGATCTACAATCCTCAAAATCTTTAGATATTACAAGTAATCATATAAATATTAGTTTCCCTTCAATAAAGGTTCAAAAATTCTTACCTAGTCTGGAGAGGTTCAAACAGATCCATCTTCATTTCAAGAGCCTGAAAATAAATTTGTTTTTAGTTTCAACATTAACAATTTGTAAATCTGCTCAGATCTTCAAGTATTCAGCCAAATGCCTCAATACACATCACCGAAACCCCAACCTCCTCAGGACAGACTGCAGCAGCCCCGAAGAACTCGGCACTAACTACAGCTGCCTGATTCAGAAGCAGTTCAGCCTCGTCATCGTCTCATCATTAAGTTGGTGAAAGGCTATTTTAAGAAAAATTTCCCTCATTCTAGTTTCCATAGATTTTGCATGTATCAACCAAATATCAAAAATGTTAAGGTTGGTAAACATTGCATGAAATTCCAATCGTGTTACAATTCTGATTCTTTCAAGTTTATTATTTTAAAAAAACTACCATATTATAAATATTTATAAAGTATTTTCTGTCTGTAAATGCAATTCATACCTTTGATCAAGTGCCCTTCAAGATTTATGCTGGCTTCATGCCTACACTGCTGTTCCTGTAAAAAAAAAAAAAAAAAAAAATTAAAATGGAGGTGAACCTTCTGAGAAAATTTCAAAAACAAAAACAGTCCCTTAACCCCCTCAGACAAATGCCTCAAGACACATCACCGAAACCCCAACCTCCTCGGGACAGACTGCAGCAGCCCCGAAGAACTCGGCGCTAACTACAGCTACCCAATTCAGAAGTGATTCAGCCTCGTCATCGTCTCATCATGGT